CAACCATTGGCTGGGGATTTAGCTCACTGGTTCCATTGCCTGCCTCACAAGCACAAGGACCCAAGTTAAATCCTCAGTACCAAAAAAAAAAAAAAAAAAAAAAAAAAAAAAAAAGATACAACCACCATATCTACTAAACAAAATCATCAGATTTCAGTGCCTATAGAATTGTCCACAGGAAATACCTTCCTGTTTCATTGTGCTAAATGGAGTAGTAAAAGAGCTTTTAAAAAAACACATAATTATAAACATTGAAAGGATATAGTATGCTATTTTAATACATGTGTACGATGTATAATGATCAGATTAGGGTAATTGGCACATCCACCATCTTGAATGTTTCTTATTTCCTTAAGAAGTTCAGCATTCTCTCTACCAACTATTTGGAAATGCACAATTGTTGTTACCCACCCTACTGTGGTCTAGAACATTAGAAGTTATACCTCCTAATCCAGCTGTACCCCTATACCCAATGACCACCCTGTCTGCATTCCCCTTCCCTCCCTCCAGTCTGGTACCAGTGCTTTCTGTTTCCCTGAGATCAACTTTTTAAATTTCCTCCTATAAACAAGAACATGCAGTGTTTTTCTATATAAGTTCTGCCTCTTAATGAACAAATTACTTTTTTCTTTTGGTACCAGGGATTGAACTCAGGACCTTGTGCTTGAGAGGCAGGCATGGCGCCCCTGAGCTAAATCCCCAGCCCCATACAGTGTTTTTTCTGTGCCCAACTTAATTCGTTCATCACACTATCCTGCAGGCTGAAGATTAGTGTAAGTTGTGTGATTTGTGCAATTAATTTTTTTCACTGGTACATGATGACGTGGGTACATGATTATAACGTATTTTGATTACTTTCATTCTTATTCCATCCCCTCTTTTCCTAATCCCCTTCCCTATCACTGGAAGACAAACTTCTCATTTCCTGCATGCTCTCCTTTGTTTTTGTACCTATTTGCAGACTACTTTTATAAAAGAAAGCACACAATTTTTATCTGAGACTGGCTTATTTCACTTAAATGGTCTCCAGTTCCATCCATTTTCCTACAAGTGACATGATTTTTTTCTTCACCTATTCATCTGTTTTCTTGTTCAGCTGTTTCCACAGCTAAGATACTGTGAATATACAATAAGATACTCTTTTCTGAGGTGGTAAAGTATGTAATGTAAACATCACTGATAATATAAATCTGTGTATAAAATGAAACTTTTTTTTGAGACAGGATCCCACTATATAGCTCAGGCTGGCCTCAAACTCATGGTAATCCTCCCGCTTTAATCTCCTGAATGCTGGGATTACAGGCATGCGCCACCATGCCCAGCCAAAATGAAACATTTAGATAAAGCTAAAAAATAGTGTTATCACCCACTTACTATAGAAAGCAAGCACATGTTACTCTTTTTTTAATGTGCTTGACACTAATTTCAGTGTCATGTGTGAAGAGTTTAAAGTCCAGCAGCCCTTCTCTGAATTCCTGCCCAGTTCTGGTTCTGGTCCTGTTTCCCTGGATTCCTTGGCTTCCAACTGAATTTGCTGATGCACAGAGACTGTCAGGTATGAACTCCTTTCGCTGTCTGACAGAAGGCTCCTCCCCACCCCTCCTGCAGAACCATTCTTTCCCCTCTTTCCCTCATCTGCTTTCATTCAAAGCTGTCTGCCCTCCTGGATTCCATCTCCATTTGACCTAAAAGCGTGACCCCTGAGTGACCTCTTTCCCGTGAATCTTCGGCCAGCACCCTCCCTTCCCGTTCTCCCACCTCCCTTCCAGGCTTGTTCCTCGCTCCTGTGCCCGTTGGTGTCATCCTCCCCAGCCCCAAACCCAGACGCTAACGGTCAGCCTGGGTCCTTCTCTTCTCCTCTTCTGTCTCTGTTAATTACCAAGCTCCATTGACACTTGCTTCCTATGTCACTCCAGACTGTCCCTTTCTCTCATCACCCCTGCCCAAAGTTACCATTTATCTGCACGGCTGCCTGCCTAGCCCTAGTTGGTCTGCTGTAGCCTTGCTCCCCTTGACTGTGTCACTCTTCTTCTTAAACATCTCCAGTGGCCCCGCACTCATCCCCAAACAGAGTATACCCATCTAGTCTGCCTCTCTGGTCTCTGCCACACCAGTCATTCCCTCCCACTCTTGGGCTTCCTTGCAACTCTAATGACGGCATTATTTTCTCTCATGACTTGTGCCTTAGATCTCCTTGGAACACTTTTCCTGATGCACACCATTACCACACATACACACATGCATACATATGTACCCATCTTTCTGCCCACAAGCCTCCACACTTCCATGGGGCGAGAGCTCAGTTCAGCCTGAGCTGCCCGCCAATCCCTCCCTCCCTCGTCCAGCTTCCCTCACACTCTGAAAACACTCACTGGAGCATTTCACAATGTTTACCAGGAGAAACCTACCATAAATTTCCAAAACGCATGCCCTTTTCTATCTTTGTATATATCATCACTAATGTTTATGAATAAATTAAAAATCCTTCATGAAGTTACTATGTTTTTGTGACCTCAGAGGAAATAAAAAGACCAAAAGGCTACAATAAGGAAATTTTACAAACAGTCCAGTGTCATGGAGTCAAAGAGGTCACAGAGCCCCTAAAAAAGTGCATGTGCGTGTGTGTGTTTTAGGATATAAAAAGTCAAAAGGAAATCCATTGAACTTTGTTATACAACTAGAGTTATAAGCTTTCTGGTGCTGCAAGCATATTTCTAGGACAGTTTCCCAGGTACCACATACATAAGCTTTCCAAATAATAAAAAGCCCCAAGGAATTCAAATTGCCTTTATAGAAAGCTGTCCAAGAATGGAATGCATACCTAACAATTTCCTAATGGTTGCTTTCTGAGATGTGTGTGCATCCTTTAATTAGAGAACATGGAGCCTGCACAGATAGTTAAAACCCTTTCTTTAGCTGTGTAATACAAAGAAATGCCCATACTTTTCAAAATGTCTCATTTTCCACTGCTTTCGAGAAGGTGAGGAAGGGAATGGGTTGTTTGTCAGTAGTCAGTGCTATTTGCCAAAAGCCTTTTGTATAACAAACAAGAGCACCTACTACTTTGCATCTTATCAGTAAGTGGTACTGTTTTATGAGATGTGGCAACCTGTGGGCTGATGAATGTTCCAAAGACTTTCTGTAAAAGTAACTTCATTCTGTTGTGATTTCACGATTACTTTTTATGAGTGAGTGCTGTCTTCTTCACACACTACGATCAGCATGAAGCAGGAGTGCATACTTCACAGATTTCATTCACTGCAAAACAGACACAACCAGGATATCACAGAGCATCTAACTGTTGATCTTGGGCTCTGCTTCAGCAAATCCAGGAAATGCTTTCAGTTTACAGACTTTGAATGTCATCGTAACACGCCAGAAACAACTGTGTCTACATTCCTAACCCTTTTCTATAAAAGACAGAGATAGAGTTTTGAACCACTTTTCAGAATCCACATAAAAATTTTACTCAAGCTTGCTTGACAACAACCATAGTCAAAAGCACATGCAGACTTGGAATGAAACCTGAATTATCCGGTGCAGCCTTTTATAGGTATTTTGGCAAGTGACAATACTTTAAATTCTAAAATACTGTATATCACTGATTTTAATAAGTATATTTTACTTTTAACATCTCTGAAAGCGGGATATATCTTATAATCAATGGCATGTTGTAGATTTGGCATGGTTTTTCTAAATGAAACATATAATGGTATGTTACATTTGTGACATCTTAAATTTAAAGAAATAAGATATTATGCACCTATCAAAACAAATGGCGTCTGAGACCTAGTTAATACATTAATATAAAAACTGTAAAAAGTGAATCTTATCTGTGGATTTCATTATTTGCAATAACTCTTTTGGTAGATATTTATGTTAGAATAAAGACCTCACACTGATTTTCACTTTTATTTTACTGCTTTCTCCAGGAGAAATATGTTACATATTAATATGTAATGTATAATATATAATTTATTGTGTATTTTATATATTGATATATCAAGTTAATGTATAAATAAAAAATATATGTGAATGAATGAAATTGTATTAAGTGGCTAGTTATGTGGCTTAGTGATAGAGCACTTTCCTAGTATGTGTGAAGATTTGAGTTTGCTTTCCAACACCATCATGGGTAAAAACCCAAAACCATAGGAAGTTATCTTAAATAATTCTAATTTGATACACTCAATGGCTTCCTTATCAGTTCTCCTCTTAGTGAAAATATTCAGGGTTTTTCTTTCTCTTTAGTGTTTAGGGTTTGAATTCATTGCTTCTCTATTTTGCAGTATTTTTTTTACCCAAGTTAAGCTGGAATAGTTTTCTGTTTCCTATGCATAAAAATCTGTAGAAACCTTAACATTTTTGAACCTTTCCTCTTCAGAGATTCCTTTCTTAGAGAAAAAGGAATTGAATACAATAAAACCTGTATGAGCTGACTGATCAGTGAATAATTACTATACTCAAACAGGATTTTTAATTAAATATAACATACAGTTTCTAAAATGTGTTTAATCTCTTTGTAAAACCCATAAATATCAAATGTTTGAAAGAAATTGGCCCTTTTTGGTGAGTCACTTTACCATCTATGACCCACTGTGGTCACAAAGGTAGATCATTTGACAAAAATCTTTATGGTTCTGAGGCATCCTTGATATGGCTTCTTATTCCTGTTCATGTCATAGCACTCAGAAGTGCCCGTATTCATATTAAACATAGAAGCTGCTGCTTGTCCTTGAGACTCATCAGAAAATTCCATGATAGAAATTGCACTAACAGTAAATTGCAGAATACTGGTTTGATTTATCAGATTCTAAAACAAAAATGGAAATCAAGCTGTGAAAATTTTTGATTTGTCAATGCCATGCAACCATAGCTCTAAAAGTAGCCATGTTGCTTCTTCTGTAGTAACGTGGCTTGAGTATCAGTGCTTTGATATGAAACTGTCTCCTCATCTATGTGCTTCCCCTTTTGCCCCCTTCACCTTTATTATTTTTTAGGTCCATACATTCCGAGGGCCACACTGGTGTGAATACTGTGCCAACTTCATGTGGGGTCTCATTGCTCAGGGAGTGAAATGTGCAGGTAAGAGCACTTCCTCTCTGGATGGAAGTATGAGGCATAAGGTATTAAGAAATTTGTCATTAGGCACGTGAACAACAGACTGGATCCTGGTTTACTCTCCCATACATGGAGACAGCCAGATTCTCATGTAGCCATTTGTACACTGATATTTTATCTGCCCTTAATCATCTTGCACTTGATGGACAGAAGACTAAGGATCTGGTACAGTCCATTGAAAAGAGAAAAGTCAGCTTGTTTAAAAAGCCTGACAAAAGGAGATAAAAGTAAGGCAGTTATATTTAATACTTGCCTTTGATGTTACAGTAACTAAATTTATAAAAATGACTTTTTAAAACAGCAGTGTACCAGGAACTATGATTGTTGCCTTGGCAACTGAATTTTAAAGATAACTTGTTAAGCTAGATTGTCCTTACAAAATTTTTGTGAAATCAAAGCTTAAAAAAAAAATCTGTGTTTGTCTTCAGAGATGGTTACCAAATTCTGAAAAACCATTTAGTCACTAATATTTTCTTGGTAACATTTTGAAATATTGGATATACCAATTCTTTCTATAAAATATGACCATGGTATTGTAGATTCACATTTAGAAAATTTAAGATCTACACATAAAGTAGACAGTGTGGGAGCACATTTTAAAGAATGTTTGAATTTGTGTTTGCTATCCTATTTAGCCACCAATACATGAAATGTTTTTTGTTCTGGTATCATGTCACACACATATAAGGATATATTTAAATATTTTGATATGAAGTAGTTATTTCCATCATGTGAAATTCATTTATGGATATAATTGAAAAATATGTCATTGTTTAAATTAAAAGTGTTTATTACACTAGAAGACACATTGCCATTCTCCACAGAATACTCCCCACTTGCTTTGAACACATTTGTCCATTATTCGTGGCACTTTTGGAAGCAGTTCTAGAAGTCCTCTCTGGAGCCTCTCTTTAGTTGCACCATCAGGAGTGCCTTAATTTTCTGAGTCATTTCAAAACATTTACCTTTCATGATCAGTTTGACTTTGGGGAAGACCCAGACTCACGTGGTGCCAAAACTGATGAATAAAATAGGTGAGGACACACTAATGTTTTCACAAGCTTGCCTTTCTTTTGGATGGCACCTGGAAGCAGCATTTACTGTATTTTTTATAACAGCTGGTAAAGACAAGTTTCTTGCTATTTAATTCGGGTTTTTTGTTTGTTTTTTTGGTACCGGGGATCAAACTTGGGACCTTGTGCTTGCAAGGCAGGCGCTAGAATCACTGAGCTAAATCCCCAGCCCTTTTTTTGTTGTTTTTGTTTTGTTTTGTGTGGGTACTGGGGATCGAACTCGGGTTCTTGTGTTTGCAAGGTAAGCAGCAGAACTATCGAGCTAAATTCCTGGCCACTCTATTTAATTTGTACAACTAAAATATCTTATATATCTTTCAGCCTAAAGCTTTACACTAGAAAAGTATACTGAGTAAATTAATTCAAGATGGTAACTATAATAACTGCCAGATTGATTGGTGTAAATATCCTCATCTCTTGTGGCATGGTTTTGTGGTTTTGGAGTATTTTTGTTATCCATTGTGCAGAAAGTTCTGAGGTCTGGTTTCACATATTTCTAAATTGGATTTTCTTTGAATAGCAAAGTATATATGCATTGCATGAGGACATTCCAAGTTACTCTTTCAGTCATTATTCCCTGAGCATCAGGAAGGTATTCTGAGGTTTAAAGCATATGTCACTAGCCAGGCACATTCAGGAACCTCCCTTTTCTGGGACGTGGCTTCAGAATGCCACAGTTCGTGTGAACCTTGAACTCTGTGGAGGTGTCCAGCAAGGAGAGCAAAGGCTCAGGCTGTCTCAGAGGCTGCAGGAAAAACTTACTGTTATAGCTAAGTTATGCAGAGTCAGGATGAGGAGCCAGCATTAAGAGGCTGTGGCTGTGCCTTTGAACTGGAGGGGAACAACATGCAGTGGAAAGTGTTGATAAAGGGATGGTAGTTAGTCTACATCATGATTTTTTTTTTTTAAGGCAAATAGAGTACTGTTTCCAAAGCAGAAATCTCCTGCTCAAGGGTTGAGGAGTCTCAGTCAGCCTGGATTGCCTTTCTTGAGAGATTTTTGACCAGCACACTCTTCCCAACACCAACAGTTTCTTAAGGATTTTACAACTGTCATTTTACAACTTACTAGCCTTTATGAGAGTAATGATGTGTATCATTTACCTTTTGTGAGACTGAAGGCTATCAGCAGATAACAGGTACAACATGTACAAATATTCTGTGGTAATATGCCACAGTCCAGAATCACATTTGAAAGAAATGTTTTGGAATATCTTTTAGCATAAAAAGAGGAGGAAGAAAATGATTCATCACCACCACCCACAACCCCCTAGCCAACCACATTCAGTCTTCACCTCTTACTGTGAATAAGAACAGGAATTGAAAGAAAAGCCTTGAGGAAAATTTTTCATTTTATTGTTTTCTCTTGCCTTAAAAGCATTCTATTTTGTGCGATTTTTGGACCATATTGATGTATAATTTAAGCACATCAGACTATTTTTAAAAACTCAGCGGGTTGGGGTTGGAATCCAAACTAGTTCTGTTTTGACAGCTAATTACATTTGGACAGACAGTGGGATTCTTAGGTTAAAGTAATTAGGACTCATGTGGCTTTTGAGCTATCTACATTAACTAAAACAAGGCAAAGAATTAAGAATTTAAAGAGAGCATACACACTCAGTATAGTTGGCTGAATAATGGTCACCAAAGATGTTTACTTCCCAGCCCCTGGAACCTGTGAAGATAGTTAACCTTTCAGGGTACTAGGAACTTGCAAGTTCTGATACTTAGATGGAAATTAAAGATACTGAGATGTAAAGGTGACCCTGGATTGTTGCAGTTGGCCCAGTGTAATCACAGTTGCTGATGGTTCATACAAGAGAATGAGAATCACAGGAAGATGATGTAAGGACAGAAGCAGAGATGTGAGAAGAGAGACAATGCTATACTGATGTCTCCAAAAATGAAGGGAAGGCCATGAGCCGAGGAATGCAGGTGGCCTTAGGAGCTGGAAAAGACAAAATGGATGCTTCCTCCAGAGCCTCCAGAAGAAACATAGGTCTGCTAATACTTTATTAATACATGTTGTTTTAAGCTACCAAGTTTATACTAATTTGTTACAGCAGCATTAGGAAGCTAATACACTAGCAGGAGTAAATATTAAAGACATTATTTACAAAGAGAAATAACAGGAGACATATTTTATTTTTGATCTATAAGAAACCCTGCTTTGTTCTAGTTTTATTTTTTTGTTTTTGTTTTTGTTGTGTTTTGTTTTTACAAAGTCCACCCAAGCAAAAGAGCTTTCAGGAATTTTTAATGGACTGTTGACCAAAAGCAGCAATTTTGTATCCCACCCACACCCCTGTTCTACACATACACACACCTCTTTCTCTGTCATTTGGGTGTTATTCAAATCATCAGGCCAGCAAAGTTGCTGTAGGAATCAGATTGTTTTGTTTTTTGAGACAGTGTCTCACTATGTAGTTGAGACTGACCTGGAACTCACTGTATAGCCCAGGCTTCTCGCAATCTAGCAATTTTGTATCCCACCCACACCCCTGTTCTACACATACACACACCTCTTTCTCTGTCATTTGGGTGTTATTCAAATCATCAGGCCAGCAAAGTTGCTGTAGGAATCAGATTGTTTTGTTTTTTGAGACAGTGTCTCACTATGTAGTTGAGACTGACCTGGAACTCACTGTATAGCCCAGGCTGGTCTCGAACTCACAGCGACCCTCCTGCCTCAGCCTCCCGAGTGCTGGGATTACAGGCATGTGCCACCATACCTGGCTGTAGGAATCAGATTGAATCCAGCTAATACTGAAACAGGCAAGCTGGGTCCCATCAAGCCTGGAATCTCTAGTGTTACAGGTGCACACACTATCCCCAGCAAGGACAGTGGACGGGACAGAGGGATGGTCCTGAGAATGCTAAGATTAGCACTGCACAAACTTCAAAGCCCAGGAGTACTAGGTGATGTGGGAGGCATTAAACAGTATCAACTGCCAACCCTTCCTCTGCGTCCATCAAACTAAGTAAAATAACATTGCAGCTGAGGAGTAATGCTCCTCTTGCTGAAGTATTTATGATCCAGTAGGTAAAATTTAAAAGGCAGGGTTCAAAGGATGGTCATTCAGACTAATTTTTCCTCAAATTGTTTTTTTTTCCTTTATGAAATATAAACTGATAGGTTGTATTAATCTAGTATAGTCACTGAGATTGCCAAACATCCCTCCCTAGAAAAAAGACCACTATTCCACCAGCATTCCTAAATTTTTTTAGGAGTTAAGGATATTTTGAAATAGATATTTCAACTTAATATTGATTATTAAGGTGACTTTTTATTTTCAGCATATCATTATCATTGCTGACCCTAAGCACAAATGGCAGCAGTTTCTTCCTAATAATCAAAATTATTGGGTCAAGTATTCAGGCACTTGTAGGTTGAAGAAAAGAGGAAGTAATATCTTTTACTTAATGCTTTGACTGTACCTAAAACTTGTTGTTTTTCTAAGTCATTGAGGATTTGAAGATATGTGAGCTTTACATAGCCCCTTTTAGTCAACAGCAGTATTTTTATAAATATTCCAAGAAATAAGATATTCCTCTTAATTTTGCTTAGTGAAAATTGCTTGTGATGCATATTAAAATATGAGCTGTTCTACTTTTTATGGGCAGAAAAAATATACGTTCAAGAATAAAACTTAATGGTTAGTAGTGTAGTTCAGTAGTCGAGCATATCCCTAGAATGTGTAAGACCTCAGGATGGGTCCCTAGTGCTGCAAAAATAAAATAAAATTTTATTTACAGTTAAGTACAAATACTGAGCCAGGGATAGTGGCACATACTATAATCCCAGCACTTTGGGAGGCTGAGGCAGGAGAATCATGAGTTTGAAGCCAGCCCAGGTAACTTAGTGACTTTACAAGACCTTGTCTCAAAAAAA